CATCTGCCAAAACAAACAAAAAAGGGGTTATAACACTATATAGACAAACGTGACGAAAACAAAGTTGTTTGGAAGCCATATTGCAATATTACTTTATGATAACATACACCAGTTATAACTTATTCGTATTTCCATACTTTAAGAGTCGAAGTGCTGAAGTACGTGGAGAATTTTACGATTGGTTTATGTTAATAGTAACTATCTTGCTTGCAGGTCCTACAGTTTAAAGTACGTGAAGCAGTTATTGATCAATAGTGCCATCTAGTGAAAATATTTTTAACACTTTCAAATCTAAGTCATTGCGATAATCCTCCTTGTGTTTGTTTGTTTGTTTTGAATTTCGCGCAAAGCTACACAAAAGCTATCTGCGTTAGCCGTCCCTAATTTAGCAGTGTAAGACTAGAGGGAAGGCAGCTAGTCATCACCACCCACTGCCAACTATTGGCTACTCTTTTACCAACGAATAGTGGGATTGACCGTCACATTATAACGCCCCCACAGCTGAAAGGGCGAGCATGTTTGGTGGGTCTGGGATTCGAACCCGCGACCCGCAGACTGCGAGTCGAGCTCCTTAACCACCTGGCCATTCCTCCTTGTGACCCAACGGTAAGTCTGAAGGATTATAATGCTAAAAACCGGATTTCGATACCCACGATGGGCATAATATTGTGTAATTTTGTGCTTAACAACAAACAAACAACTAAAATTAATCGAAAATATAGTTTAATCTATATAATTGCTTAAGTATCGTATGGAAGATTATTCTTTTCTTGGGGGGAGGGGCAAAGCTACTAAATTTATTGTTTGAGTTGAATTGAAATAAGCCCGAGTAAATATAAATGCCACTCTATTCCTACATAAACATCACAATCTTGACCTAAAATACTGTTTTATTTTTATCATTGTGAATCTATAGATAATTAATAATTTTGTTAATTTAGCTAACAACAAAACAAAAGAAATGCACAAAATAATTAATCCCTTTCCCACTCTACTCGTTGAAAAGTAAAACCAGTGATCAAATAAAAAAACACTTATTTTTATGTATTGTTTACAGCAGTTGTTCTTTTGTTATCACAAATCAGAAAATCTATCAAAAATGAAAATGACAATCTTTAAACTCCCCAATCTTCCTGTATATAAATACAATTTCCAATTGTATAAATGTCTTACATAGTTAAAACAACAAAATATCCTTGTATTTTTTATGTATTCTCGATATATGTTTTAAAAGTATGTACTTCTTGAGTATTTTATGTGGAGGAGCATTACTTGAAAATAGAGGGTGAACAATCTAAGCTTGAATTGCTAACGATAGTATTAACTGTGTTGTAGGGCAATAGGATATCGATTTAAATTCAGATTTGTTTCATTGTTTGAACCGAGGGAAGTTTGACGTATAGTTATGGGCGTGGTTTAATTTCCAGAACCTTCTTGAAAGCTTAGGAAATGATATGAATTGTATAAAACACTCTTTAAGTTACTTGTTAAGTTTATTAGCAAGTTACATTGAGTTTGAAGTAGTGAAATATGTGATTGAGATAGTTAGATTATTTCTTTAGTGTTATGATTATTAAGTTGGTGTTTTCAACAGTAATAAAACATATGCCCTACGTTTTGTAAAGTGAGTGAATTAGCAAGTAAGTGAAATTGCTGTATTAGCGTCTACTGTGAATTTAGGTCTATTAGTGAACACTACTAAAGCTAATTTATAGAACTTGAAGTTCAAGAAATAAAATGTCTCGTTATAACTGGACTTTGCATCATTCATTTTACCGAAGTGTCCAAAAGAACCTCCCATATACACCCCAATAACATGAAACGTCAAAAGAAGACAAAATGTGTTATTTGGAAACTGTACACATACCTGCTCAAATTAAACACATAGAAAAGTTTCTATATTAAAATAACAAGGTAGAAAACACATGACATGCTCTTCCTACTCCCCCCTTACTTTAGGCTTGTTCTAAAAAGGACATTAATCTTAAACTTTAAAGCTTACTAAATTTACATATGTGATTTTTATTTTGACTCTGTAAAAACACTTATAGTAAGGCCTTCTAGAGTTGGGTCAAACGCAAAAGTCATCAAAGTGGGAAGGTTGTTCCAACTCTGAGCAGTATCCAATGTACTCTGTCTCGATACATTAGTGATATACATTGGTGATGGCTCAAGTGACAGCCGCAACTACATCCACATTGGCATTGGAGATCCTATATGAGATGAAGATAACTGTCACTGGCACCAGGACCTCTACATCATAGGCAGTAGCTCCTCCCAAAGCTACAAAAACAAGGAGAGAGAAGTTGAAGCTCTCCACCAAGCGAAAAACCAAGGTAAAAGAACAGTTTCTGCTGTTCTTTTATAGCAGTTCTAAAACAACAACCAGGTAGACAGAGGCCTGGGAAATATACAACTAAGAAGAAGAGCGTTTGATGAAGCACAGAGAGACGCTAACACAACTAGAGAGAGTAACGTATTGTCTCAGAGATGACCGCTCGAAAACTTGGAAGACTCTTGCTAGAGTCAGAGAGATTAATTCCCAGACCACCACAGTGCACTGAAAGTTTATGCCTGAATTGGAGTATTTGTTGTCGGAGCTCCTATAGGTAAGCAATTCCAGTTAACCTATAAATTATACATATAGTTATAGTATGATTTTATGTATGTATTTATTTTAGTTTATAGTGTATATACATATGTATATTTTCTTTGTAGAGGGGTTTAATTTTGTGATGATATGTGTATCAATGCTTCTGATTTAAATGGAAGATTTTATATTGTATAAACATAAATTTTTTCGTCCAATGTACTTTGTACAAATGTATAGTTTATTATGTTTTGCTTTTATTTAAAGAGGTTGGGCAGATTTAAAGTGTTCATTTATGCTTTAACAGACATTTCATACTTTTTCTGTGTATTTTGTGTATATTCTCATTATTTTGTATTTTTGTACTGTGCAATGTGTTAAACGTGAGTAAAGTGAGCTGTGTTAAAATTAAGGTTTTATTGTCTTATTTTCTAGAGTTCTTTTTAATGTCTACTCGTCAGTTCGCTGTTGTTATTGAAAGACCAACAACCCAATCTTCCTTACTTTAGTGGAGACGAGATTCATATTCACTAACTGGCTATTAAGCATGATCTCTTACAAAAAAAATAGTTTTTACTTCACCATTGAATTATAAGAAAGACAACTGTCTTTTCTGTTGGCGAATCCGATAATGACCCAAGACCTTCATGCCCCTACACTGGAATGCACATAGCTTTAGGTTGCGTGTGCAAAGAGCATAGCTTGAGCAATTTGGTTTTATTATCATTTGGTATTTAATGACAAGCTCACTCGTATTAAGCGGAATAGATTACATTATTTTTCAAGTTTGTTTTCACTGTGTTTTGGTGAGTTTCACCTTGACTCAAATGGTTTGCCCAATTAACTTGGTTTAACTGTAGAATTAACTTTGTTTCAATTTAACTTCAGGATTATTTTAACATTTTCTTTCTCTCTTAGTTCACTGGTATGAAAGATTTATTCAAGGTTTCTTCACACGTCTATTACACTTTCAAAACACTCATAACAGACAGATGCCCTAATTCTGTGACTGTGTATTGTGTTTCTTTTATTTTGTTAACTACAGATTATTGAGCTGTTCGTATTGTATATTGCTGCTTTCATTGTTGACAAACTCAGTCAGAGTTCGAAGAGCGACAGGAACTAATTCTATGTGGCGTAACACCTTCCGAACCTCTAGTTGGCAAGCACTAGCAGTTTCTGAGGGAAATTCGCGCGCCAAAGTATATCGCATCTGTCAATGGGAGGAGACACAAAAACGGGGCCAAACTGGTACTAGTTTTTATCAGCGGTGTCATAGAATACCTAGCGAAAATTTATAAAAAATTACCTGAATATACTTTACTAAATATATATGATAAACCAGTTATGAAAGGGTAAAATGAATAATTATTTCAACTGCGATACATGCAACTTTAATTATTTCATTCTATGTTTATTTTTCATATCACATTTCTTTCTCTCCTTATTTTTAGTGAAAATGTAATCATACAAGACGAAAGTTTCAACTTACTTCTTTTTATTATTTCTCTGTGAATTTATTTTGCACTTATGAGTATTCATGTAATTGTTTTTATAATAATATAAATGTATAGTTGCTGACATCACAAAACCTTTCTGCTGAAGATGAGGAGGATAGCAAGACGAATATCTTATGCCTATATTTCGAGTGGTTAGTACGTTATATGAAAATATCAGTAATTTATATCGTAATTTGTACCTTTTTATTTCTGGACAACTAAAAGGAAATCAAATAATTCAAGGATAAGAATTGTTTATTTGTTTGTAGCTCAACACAAAGCTACACAATAAGCTATCTGTGCTTTGCCCACCACAGGTATCGAAATCCGGTTTTTAACGTTATAAGTCTATAAACTTGCCACTGTACCACTGGGGGGCGACAAAGCATTGATAGTTTTAGCAAAGGAACATCAACTGAAATTTACCTTTTTCCAAACAGCTTATGATGTAAAAATCGAAGTATGATATTGGGTTGAACATATGATTGTATATCCTTCCCACAGATTTGCAGTATAAACCAGAAAATCCCCCATCAAGTTGCTTTTACTAAGACATTTATTTCTAACAAGGTGTTAATGATATTTCGCGTGATCAACGTGTTTGTACGTGAGAAACTATTTTAAATATAAATTATATATTAGAAATAGCCGTGTATCTTTGTTTTTTTAATTTAACAAAAGGTTTTATAGGTTGTACAGAGTATAGCTTTTGTTTATCTTTTTTACAGCTGTTCATCACAACTGATGATGTCAGGTAAACGTGGTGAAACGTTTTGAGCAAAATAAAAGTTTTATTCTGTACAGCCGATAAAACCTTTTGTGAAATAGTTTAAATATACTTGTACTAACAATAGATGTCGCTAAAGGAGTCTCTACAGTACAATGTTTACAAATCGCGCAGAGCAACGCGTTAGACTGATTAGACTTTTACAGGCTACAGCTGACTGTGACCGGATGAAATTTATATATCTTAAAACAACTAGAACAGCGACAGGTACATTAATGATTAATCTTTAGTAAATGTGAGTATGTTTTCGTGAAAATTGATGGCAAGATAAAATATCTATTTTCTGTTATACGATTATATTTAGAATAGAAAAGTTTTACACCATCGATGGCATTTGGTTCCATAAAGAGTTGCTTGTTGCGGTCATTTGTAAATTGTAGTATCTTTATATTACTTTTTAGAAGTATAGGCGTTTGCAGTTTCAATTTTAGGCTAGTATAGCTAAAAGTTAAACGAAAAGCAATAGAAATAACGTAGGTGAATTCCACCACTACCATAGTCAAAGAGCGTGATTTGAATAGTGTGTTGGATTATATCATAAATCACTTGTGTTTGTTATTGTTTTTTCTTATTTTTAACTTTTAAGATTTAACTTTTATCGTGTAAAAAGCTGAAACAGGATGAGGGCGAAGAATAACAATATTATGTATTAATAACTCAAGAGCAATCGCTGATGAACAGTACTAACTACTATTGCAGTATTGTTACTATTCTATCTTTTAGTTTTACAGTATTAACTTATCACTTATGTTACTGAAGCCAAGATATCTGGCTAGCATATGTAATCTATTGATCGTAAAAATTGTTTTAGTAGTAAATATTTTTGAAAGAAAGCTTCAAAAATATAGTAATGCCATGGTTACAAACCCACTGAAGCAGATGAACAATAAGAATTTATTTAATGACCCCATTTGCTAGTACTTGACACTTAGTTATGTAATGGCACATAACACCTCAAAACATAATATGACAATAGAGGACAGCAAGATACCATTTGGTTCATCTAGGCTGCCCTATGCATTAAATTAAATCCTTAAAAAATCTAATAGCCAGCCCTTATCATTCAAATATTTTAACTGCATCCACCACATCCAAAGGCAACCTGTTCCAGAGGCCAACCACCCTATTAGAAAAGTAAAGTTATCATCCTAATAGCCCCTCTCTGAACCCTTTCCAACAATTCAATATCCTTTCTAAGGTAAGGAGCTCAAGCCTGAACACAATACTCCAAATGTGGCCTAACCAATGATCTAAACAATGATATTATAACCTCTTTAGACTTGTATTCAATATTTCTGGAGATACAACCTAAAATACTATTTGTCCTGTTACTAGCAGCATCACACTGCTTGGATGGCTTAAGAGTTTGATCAACCATTATTCCAATATCACTTTCATTCATGACACTGTTACAGTTATTCCCATCCAAGTTATACTTATATTTCAAGTTATGATAACCAACATGCATTATATTGCATTTATTGTAATTAAAATCCATTTATCATTTATTTTTCCAACCCACTAAGTAATCTAAATCCTTTTGTAAATCAGCAGCATCCTCTTCACAGCTAGCAACACCCAAGACCTTAATGTCATCAGCAAATTTACTGGTTTTTACTTGCAGCCACCATTTTTGTTCTATAAGGAATATGTTTACCTTGAATATTTAAAAATTTATCTTTAAACATTTTCCATATCTGATCAGTGTCTCCAAATAATTCAGCTGCCCAATTCACAACAGATAGCTCTTGTTGCATCCCTTCAAAATTATTTTTTTGAAATTTATAACCAAAATATAATTATTCCTTATCTCCTATGCAGCAAAACATCGAACCTAAGAGAGCAATGATCACTTTCACCCAGATTTTCCCCAGTTTCCACCCTCTCAATTATTTCTATATTTGAAGTTAACAATAAATCTAAAATAGCATCATTTCTAGTAGGTTCCTTGACTAACTGGTGAAGAAAGCCATCCTTAACAGTTTCCAAAACCTTTCTTCCTCATGGTTTGATTCAAGAATTTCCCAAACTATATGCCTGAAATTAAAATCACCCATAATTATGACTTCATTAACAACTGAAATCTTAATCTCATTGTAAAGTTTCATTTGGTGGTCTGTAACAAATTCCCACTAAAAGCCTTTTCTCTTTATAGAAACACAAATGGATTCAATCACTTTGCTATTATCTTTGATATCCTCAACTTCAACAGGATGTAACTTACATTTTACATATAAAGCCACTCCTCCTCCTCCCCTCTTTAATACTCCATCCCTATTAAATAGCCTGTATTTGAAAAAAAATTATGTGATCAAAATCATATATGTCTAACCATATTCTTGTTATTCCCTTTATATAAAAATCCTCCATTCCTATCAGTGCTCTAAGATAATCTAATTTATTTCTTATACTTCTAGCATTAAAATAGTAACAATTAAGCCTATCCTTATAACTACTTCTATACTCATTTCCTGTGCTAAACTTTTCTCTGTGTCTTATTCTTTTTGCATTCAGTTTTTCCTAGCCCTCACCACTGTCTAGTCCTAGTTTAAAACTTTCTTTACAGCTGAGTTAATAGCCTTAGCAAACAAGCCAGCCCCTACCTTATTTAAATATAAACCATCCATTCCAAATAGCCTCCTTCTTCCATTTAACTGACCCCACAATTAAACCAGCCAATCTGCTTAACCTTACATATTAACCTAAGCCTAGCATTTAGCCCTAGTGAACTACTTATAACTTCATCCCCATTTTTAATTCTGGGCAGTATCTCTGATAAAACTAAGTTATGTCCATTTTCTTTAAATGTCTTTAATTAATTTAAGTGCATGGTAATACATGCGGGCTAAATAAGTTTATACTATAATTATCACTTTGATGGAAATCAACTATAGTGTTATGGAAGAAAAGGTTTATAGTATTTTGATCAGTCACTCTCTAAGGTTTTCCTGGCAGTGTTTCGTTGTCAGTGGGAAAGCAAATAGGATTTTGGGTTGCATTTAAAGTAATATTGAATATCAATGAAAAGAAGTTATTGTTTTTTGTACAGATATCTGGTTAGTCCTCAATTAGAACATTGCATTCAGTTTTGGGCTCTTTACTTTAAAAAAAGGACATTGAGTCGTTGGAAAGGGTTCAAAGGAAGGCTACTAGGATGATTCTTGGAATGGAGGGGCTGTCATATGAGGTCCTTAAATTTATTTTCTCTTGAGAAAAGAATTAATAGAGGCAAAGTTGTCAGTCTTACAATTGTGTTTTTTATATTTACAAAAAAGCCACCTTTATTTAACAACCACTGTATTTTGCTACTGATTTCATTATCTAAATATGCATGGGTCAGTCCATCGGAGAAGGTATGTTGAGCATAGTTTCAAATTTGCTACATGTAAATACATGAAATATGGTAATCATTTAGAAAAATGTACAATTCTGATGTACACAAAAAATTGCATTTGTTACAAAAGATTTGCCGTCAAGATATTTTTATAAATTGATGACATCATTCTGATTTATACTCTGACAAATTCGAGGGCAAGGTGATGTTCATTCATGTGAACAATAAAAATACTTTTGTCTGTCATACGGCATGCATATTGTATTTGCATAATCTCTTGAATCTGCAAAATGCAAATTAAAATACTTTTGTCTGTTATACAGCTTGCATATTGTATTTGCATAATCTCTTGAATCTGCAAATGGAAATTAACACTTATTCAGTATCCCTCTATATTGAATCTGGTATTCACTTTCTTTTATGAGGAATTTTTGCTAAATCAGCAATGTATGGTAAAATTGATAGTTGATAACTCTGACATTAAATGCTTAATACCATGTTGAATGGCACTCTGTAAAAGGTCGTGGCATGTGCACTTTGACCACAACTATGCACATTGGATTAAAAAAAGTTTTTTGCTACTTATGGGTTTATGGGCAGTGTTATAATGTGAAATTCATTTACTGACTATTCATAAATTTATGGATAGTTGGCAACCCGTGTTAGAGGTTATCTTATTGAAGTGTTCAAAATGATAAAGGGAATTGATAGAATTGATGTATCATCATATTTTTTTTCTTCTCATTTTATGTAAGAGTGGTAGGACTATGAAACACAGATTTAAGAATTGGCAGGATAGAAGGAAATTTTATTTTTTGAACAGGATAGTCAACTTTTGGTATAGATTGCTTTCAAATCTGTTAAATGAAACAGGATTGGGAGAGTTCAAGAGAGGGCTTGATGAGTACTTGAGGAGTCTAAGCTTGATAGAAGCAGATGAAATGAATGGGACAGTCATGATGAGCCCAGGGGCCTTTTGTTATCCCTCAGGTGTTATGCTATCATATGGTGTAAAACAATATATCTTAATGAAAAACCACAGTAAACAGAACAAACTGTCAGATATATGATAACAGAGAAACTAGTTTTGACACATTAGTGCATCCTCTTATAAATAGTTATTTTTAAAAACAATCTTTGATTTGAGCTTTTAAGGCTTACAACCTGTGAAGGTGACATCTTTACTGCTAACCCAATCATTTCAGAACTCTGATAACCATTGACCATTCCAGATTCTAACACCAATCCATGAACCATCACACTCACTTTTATCCAGCTTTTGATAAAGTATTACATGATGTTGTAACATATTCTGTTTTTGGTTGGGTTCTTTTGGAAGATTTAGTAAACATAATGTTAAGTGTAGTTAAAAACAATAACAACTTAGTTTGTTTCTTCTTTAATGTTTCTACAGGTTATGTTCACTTTGACATAAGTTGTAGGCCTAAGTTCACAATTAACGTTTCAACAGAAATTCCTTGCTAGTGTTACTATGTTTGACTTACAAATAAACTTGCATGTAAAATTCCATAGAAAATCTTGTGTAATTGAATATATATTACATAGTAACTTTCATCACTGTGAATACTAAGCTGAATAACTTTTCTGATACTGACTTAAATCAACATTCATTACTCAATGTATATATTTTAATAACTTCTCAATGAATTGAATATATTTCACTGAATGATATAACTTAGTTAAAAACTGATTACTTATTAACTGACTGGCATTGAACTGAACCACTCATTAATGTACTGCTCTTACCTTTTACTCACTACACTAATTATCATCATGTGACCTCTAGCAAATATCTAAACTAAAACATTGAAAATATAGCTTACTAGTTGATTTCCTATGAAATTGGTGAAAAAGCTTAGTAGAAAAACATTCTTCGGAAA